TCTTTCAGCTCTAAAATATTAGCTCTGGGTCATTACAGAGTCCCACCCATCTTGGATAAAGTCTTAACCGCCTATAAGCCACCCTCTCTTTGCTAAAAGTGACGACTCCGCAAGACCAAGGGCTAAGGCAATGGCTGCAATGCTACAGTGCAGCATAAGATGTGGAGACCACTTTACCCGAGGGAGTTCCGGAATCTGTGAGGCAGATGGCAGCTGTTACCAAATGCGTCAACTTTCTTCTCCCCAGAGCACAGCCAACAGCAACCATAGCGGCCATAATTCCTTGTTCTTCCTCTTCCTTTCCTCTTTCGAAACCGTCCCCACCAGTCCCTTCCGGTGCTCTTCCGCTATTGGCTCGAGCACTACATTGAAGGCTCTGCAGGCGAACGCCGCAGACTCCAGCAAAGAGGAGGAGGGGTCTTTCAATGCATCTACGCAGTACCTTCCGTTCTCACCCTCACCGCGCCACATGTCAGCGGACACTTATGATTGGACGAGGGGAAGGCGGTCGTACGCCTGCCTGCGCGCGCGCGCGCGGCTGAAACCTCTGCTTCCGGCCTTGGAGTCCTTTGCGAAACTGGATGGGGAAGCGAGCGTAGTTTTCCCGTTAGCCTCGCCCACTCGCTCCACCACCTGTGTTTGGCTGCTGGGTCGGGGGATGGACAGCGTTCTCGCAGGGCCCTAGGCCCCTGCCATGGATGAGGGTGGCTCACGCATCATCCGGCGGGTGTCTCTCCGCAAGAGGAACCGTCCTAGTCTAGGGAGCGTTTGTGCCGCCCCCGCCGCGGCTGAGCTCAAACCGGGGAATGTGGAGGATGAGGAGATGGTGGCTGGGAGCCGGAGGCGGAAAACCGTGGGCGTGCAACCCGTTGAGGTACATCCCCATCAGTTCTCAAATTCCACGGCATACCTCGTTCCATTTCCCACCTTGGCCTTCTACCTCGCGTGCCCACTGAAAGAGGCTGGGAGACCAGTTACAGAAGCCATGGAGGTTGAAACTATAATTTTGGCAGTTTCCTTTCCAGGTCCAAACAGTTGGCCAATTATAGCATTCTTTTGCTTACCTCGCCTTTGTTACCTCTGTTAATCCTTATGAGGAATTGCCTCGTTATCCCCATTTCTATTTAGTTACGAAACGTAGACCCCCAGTTATACATAGTTGTGCATACAGCGAATAAGTGACATGACTGGAACTCAAACGTAGACTTTGAAGTTACTGCTGCTCCTACTGTACTAATAAAACCTACCATTTATTGAAGACACATTATGTGCTGGGTACCTTGTTAAGGTGTTTAGATTGTCTAAATTTTATAAGAGGAAACAGGCCCTGAGAAGTTAAAAGTTACTATGTTGCTACTTCCCACGTGAGCATCTCTTCTGTTTAGTGGACCACCCCAGGTCTGTGCTGACTCTTCGTCCGACCCAATGCCAAATTTCCAGGAGAAGAATCTCCTTGGAGTATCTAGTGGTACAATCATCATTTTGTTACAGGCCAGTTTCTGTAAATTGGAGTCTACGAGGGTGCTGTTATCAGAAACTCCGAGCGAGCTGACACCCCCATGAATGTCTACCAGTCTTTTGCCGTCGTAAGGATTTAGAACAGTAGTTAAATCACAGACTTAAGAATTAGAATTCCAGCATTACCACATACTAGGAGTGCAGTTTAGGCATGTCACTCAAACTCTCTAAACATCTGTTTCTTCATCTGTAAAATGGGGATGATAATATCTATTTTATAGGGTCATTAAGAGTTAAGTGAAATGTGTGCAAAGTATTTAGCATGTTACATCAGTGTCCATAATTACCGCTAATACTTTTGCATTATTTTACTCTGGTTGCCAGGTTAGACAGTTACACTGTTATGTTTAGGTAGCTTTTTTTTTTGACTTCTCATAAATCAATACTTTAAGGTTATTTTTTGTCCTTTTAATGTAAAATTGTGATTCCTTTGCTTCTGATTAACACTTCCTCACCCCTACCTCCCCAGTTTTTTTCTTTCATAATTGTTTACCATTTTCTGGTATTTATAAATATGATACCTATTACTTTATCATGATATTTATAGTGGTTTCATGCTTCATGTGACTCCCACAGTGACTTGTATTTGTGAATTTAATTTTGAACAACCTAGATATTAATACAGTGTTTGAATAATGCCCTTGGAGCTGTAGTAAGTGTGTATCCTGGACTTTTGCAGATATGTTATTAATGTCTATAGGTGACTGTTAACAAAGAAAGGCATACCGTTGGAGTTGAAGCTGATCAAGACTATATTTGAGAAATTACTTGAAACAAAGTTTCAGAGTAGTACTAGTCACTAAACTCTTTAGATGTATACTTGAAGATCATATTTGATGTTCTTAGTCTCTTGCTGAACCTGTATGACCTTTGAAAAGGGTGTGAAATACTTGCATTAGAAAGGTAACTTTTTTACATCATCAAGGTTTCAGTCATCATCAGAAAAAAAAGATACCTCATTTAATGAGACCTTCCTTGTCAGAGAAAGATA